TAGAAAGCAGAGGGCCCAATAAGGGCAGAAGCCAAGGAGTTAGTCCTGTAAAAATGTCCCATTGAGATGACTGTTGGTACTGGGAATTTTTAAGTGAAAGATTTTTTGCTACCTGTTAGAGTTGTTCTATATCATGTTCGCCCTTACCGGATTGGTTGATAAAATAACAGCATTCTTCACCCAGAAAAATACAGGTTCCCCCTTTTTCTGCAGTTAATCGGTCCAGGGCTTGCCTGTTCTGGAGTGTAACTTCAGCTAAGGAGGATAATTGTTGTTGTAGGAACTGGATTGACTGGGCTGTAGTTTCCACTGTTGAAGTGAGCTCTTGTCTGAGATCCTCTGTTTCTTGAGAAAGATGCTGGGTTGAGATCAGTGTGTGTCCCAAGCCTCTGGCCGCGAGTCCTGTGGCTGCCACTGATGCCACCAGGATAACTCCTACCAGGACTGCCAAGGTGGCTGATCTCTTTGTTCTGGTTCCTTCTGTCCCTGTGGATAAGACATCATACATCTCTCCTGGTGTGTATAGGGTTAGTTTGGGGATGAGAATGACTGGAACACAGGTGTCCTCAATCCGCCACCATGGCTGAAACCCTGGGCTCCTCCATTGTGATAATCATAGAAGCAGTGGGGGCCGAGAAGCCAGGGCATTGTCAGTCTTCAGCCACCAGGCCTAGAAGGTCATTCACTGAACCCTGTAAATGAGGCTGGGTCTGAGAGGTGAGTGGCCTTCCATGGCATTGCAAAGAAGGACAATCAACTCTCCAGTGACCTTGTTGCCCACAGGAAGGACAGTTGCAGTGCTCTGTAGATTTCTTCCTGTAGTTTGTATTGTTTTCTCATTAAATTCTTATGTAGTTATTATTTATTTGTGTAAATTTAGTCTTTTCCAACCCTCTGGTACTTTTTGATTTATAAAGAACTATTGTTAGCCTGGCATTGTGGCACACCCCTTTAATCCTAGCACTCGGGAGGCAGAGGCAGGTGGATCTCTGTGAGTTCAAGGCCAGCCTGGTTTACATAGCGAGTTCCAGGCCAGCTGGAGCTACAGGGAGACCCTGTCTCAAATATACCAAAAAAATTTATGTGTATGAATGTTTAATCTGCATGTATGTATGTGCACCTATGTGTGCAATGGCCTTGGAAACCAGAAGAGGGCATTGGATCCCCTGGAAATGGAGTTATGGATGGTTGTTAGTGGCCATGTGGGTCCTCTGCAAGAGCAACCAGTGCTCTTGACCACTAAGCCATCTCTCCAGCTCCCTTTCTTTTTTCTAGGCATGCTTCCCCTAATGCTTTGGGCTTTCCTCTTTCTCTAAAGCTCCCCTTCCTGCCCACTGGTTGGCTGCTGCCATGTGACTGACCTCCATGCTGGCTTAATTCAAATGGTATGACTTTTTCTTTTTTCTCTTCTCCGCTCTCCTCCTCCAGGTAGCTGCTGAGAGTTACAGCTTGCCTGCCCTGGAGTTTTTCTCTTAAACTTTAATAAAATTGTCTTTGAGCTTCTTGTTAGGGTAGTTCAGACTGTTTGCCGTTACGCTGGCAGAAGTTTTTCAAATCTTTTAAAATATCGAGGTCTACGGTTCCAGTGTTTGGCCAAACAGAGTTATTATCTAGTTTGTACTGAGGCCAGGAAGTGGTGCACAAGAATTTTAGGCGTTTTGATCTGATAGTGTGAGATAATCCTAGCTTTTTTAAGGATTTAAGAAGGCAGGCCAAAGGTGTGAGACCCTGAGGTTTTGAGTGTTTGGTTCCCATAGCAATGGATTAGGTGGAAAGTGAAAGAAGAGTTAAAGACCTCAGCTGGTGGGTGGGGGAACAAAGAGGAAGCTTACAGGGAAGAGAGAGAGAGAGAGAGTGTGTGTGAGAGAGAGAGAGAGGGAGAGTGGGAGAGAGAGAAAACAGGAAGAGAGAGGTTTGGCTTAGGTCACGTAAAAACGAGAACGAGAAGAATCAGGCAACAAAAGAAAAGCGTCCTTTTTTTCTATTGCTGATTCGAGTTGAAATTCCCAAACCCCAGGGCAGCGTCCTGCAATCACTGGGCGGGGGAATACGAGTTGTGCGTGTCCCCGCCAATGACCACAGTGTCCTGTAGTCAAAGGCAGGGCAAAACCTCCCACACATTGGTGTGATTTCGAGCGAGCAAAAACAAGTTAGGAGAGTCTGCAATGTGGTGTGTGACCAGCCAGTAGGAACCAAAGTATAAGGAAACAAGGTAGTGGGCCCAGAGGCTGAGATGGACCAGGAATGGAGTAGAATGGAGAGGCCTAGATGAAGCTCCGAGTAGCCAGTGAATGGAGGGAGAGGAGAGAGAGAGGGAGAGAGCAAGAGAGAGAGAGAGAGAGAGAGAGAGAGAAGATGAGATGTTATGGGAAAGCAAAAGATGGCAGGAGCTAGGAGGGGAAGGGAGCTGAGGTAGGGAAAAGGATTTGAGTGTGACGGGGAGGCAGGTCTGACTCCCAGGTGGGCATGGACAGACACAGTAACTGTGCCGGGCAGTTCAACGGTCACAGAAACCAGTACTGTCCAGTGGCCGTGAGTGAGGTCCGGGAGTGACCGAATTTGATTGGAAAGGAGATGAAGAGAGAAGTGGCGGAGAGTAGTGAAGGGGAAAGGGGAGAGAGAGAAAAAAAAAATATTTATTTGTTTGTTTGTTTGTTTACTTATTTGTTTATTTAATAATACTTTTAATTCTTTGAACGTTTCATCCATTTATACAATGTATATTGATCATATCCATCCACCATCTCTCTACAGCTCCCCCTAGTGCCTGCCATTCATCCTCGCACTCCAACTTCCTGTCCTCCTTTAAAAAGAATTGTTATTCCCACTGCAAGAAAGGCCCACACGCAGAAACCCGCGCGCTAAGGGTCATAGCCCTGAGGGATTACAGGCACAGACTCTCTCCAAGATGAACCGAAGAGATGGCACTCATGCGCCCTGGGATTCCTCCTGTACACCAGATGTCCACTCACGGGTTGTGAGCTGGGACTTTACATATGGGGGCTTTAGGGTGTGGAATCAGGGAGGGGGAAGCAGGTAGGATTAGGGTGTGGAAGTGTTTTCTTTTTCCTCTTAAGATAAGAGGAACTCTGCTTATCTTATCTTTGGAGGTCAGAGGAAAGGCAGGCTGCTTCTCAGCAGAGTTTGTTCTTCTTGACCTCAAAGGTCAAGGTGCTTATCAGCTAAGTTCCCTTTTCCAGGCTCCAAAGTCTGTAGGTCCCTGTTGGGGAGGGGGGGGGGCCTGCTATTTTGAAACCCTAACAAGGACTATTGAATCTAGCACACGGTGATTTACAATAACATTTCTTTCTTTTTAAAAATATTTTTTGTGACCATCATACATGTGTATAGTCTTTGCACAATTTCCATCCCTCCCAGTCCCCCTTCAGCTTCTTCCCTGTTCCCCCAGCTCCATTGAAATTTCTTGTCCCCTTGATTGTTGTTACATATACATGCATATATTTATATATATTTTTGGATTTCACGGTGATTTACAATAACATTTCTTTCTTTTTAAAAATATTTTTTGTGACCATCATACATGTGTATAGTCTTTGCACAATTTCCATCCCTCCCAGTCCCCCTTCAGCTTCTTCCCTGTTCCCCCAGCTCCATTGAAATTTCTTGTCCCCTTGATTGTTGTTACATATACATGCATATATTTATATATATTTTTGGATTTAGTTATTTGTATTTTATGTGTATGAGTGGTTTGCCTAAGTGTACTACAAGCATGCGATGCCTGTGAAGGCCAGAGGAGGGTGCCAGAGCCCTGGAACTGGAATTATACACAGTTGTTAGCTGCCATGTGTGTGCTGGGAACCAAACCCACGTCCTATGCAAGAGCAGCCAGTGCTGAGCCATTTCTCCAGCCCCTCACTCTTTTTTTTTTTTGCTTTGTTTTGTTTGAGACAGGGTCTTCCTGTAGCCCCAGCTGGCCTGGAACTCACTATGTAGACCAGGCTGTCCTCAAACTCACAGAGATCCGCCTGCCCCTGCCTCCTGAGTGCTGGGATGAAAGGCATGCGCCACCATGCCCAGCTCACTATTATTACATTTTTGAAAAATATCCTCAGTCCTCTTTATTACATTTTTAAAAGTGGTTAAGAATCACAAAATATTAAATGTTTTTGTTCGAAACATTTGAAATTTGAACTCTTTGAATGTGTAAATACTGATATTTAGAATGTAAACATATATGTGATGATTACTTAATGTTAATACTTTGTTTTTCCTTTCAAGTCTTGACACAACATCAAAGGTACAGTCTTTCCACAGTGGTCCATCAGACATCTCCTTACCCTTATTCTGTGAACATTCTGTTGCCTAACAGACATTTTGCTGCTGTTGCTGCAAAGTAAGTATATATTTTATTAAATTAAAATTTTGATTAAAAAATGCTTAGTTCTATAAAGACCCATAGGTATATATACAGTTGGAAAAGTTTCCCATATCTGCTGCTTTGACCTTAAAGTTTTGAAGGAAAGATAAGACTTAACATTTATTGGGCATTGATGTTCTTTAATTTAGTCCTCATAACCATCCAGTGAGGAAGCTATTGCTGTCATGTTCACTTTAAGAAAAGAAAATCAAGATACCAATAGTGTCTTAGGATCTTAGTTTTGTTTCCTGTTGCTCTGATAAAATACCTTGACCAGAGCAAAAGAGAAAAGTTTTCTTGGAACTGCAGTTCCAAGTTTCAGTCCATCACTTTGGGATGTCAAGATGGTAGGAACTTGGAGCAGCCAGTCACATCCACAGTCCAGAACAGAGAGAGAAAATGTACTGTGCTCGAAGGCCTCAGCTGGCTTTCTTTTCTTTTGTCTGGGGCTCTGCCCATTCAGGGTGGGTCTTCCCACCTCTGGTAACCCAATTAAGAAAATCCCCCACAGGAATACCCACAGGCCAACACAATCCAGACAGTTCTGATTGAGATTCTGTTCCCTGGGGATTCTAGATTACGTCAAGGTGACAATTAAAACTAACCATCACAACTAGGCGGGAGGTCTGAGAACTAGTAGGTTGTAGAATAAGCATTTGAACTCAAGGAGTTTGGTTCTGAAACAAACCTAGGTGATTTTTCCCCCCTTTTTTTGACACAGGGTCTCCCTGGAGCCCCAGCTGGCCTGGAACTCTGTAGACCAGGCTGGCCTCCATCTCACTGAGATATGCCTGCCTCTGCCTCTGCCTCTGCCTCTACCTCTGCCTCCTGAGTGCAGGGATTAAAGGTGTGTGCCTCCACACCCAGCATAAAACCTAGGCTTTTAAAATTATTCTCCCTTAGCTTTTTAAAGGAACAGAACCCATTGTTCAAATTAATGCACTTTAATTAAAGTGGAAAGAGAGAGAGAAGAGAGAAAGAAGGAAAGAAAGAGAAATTATTCTGTTTTTTTTTTTTTTCAGTTCTTCTCTAAGGTACTCTTTAACTTAGGTGTTATAGGATTGCAAATAATGAAATTATATACTGTAATTTCAGATTTTCAATAATCATTGTGTGTATATACATTTATATTTTTATGTAGACTTTGACCTGTAGAAATCTAAAGGAATGAAATTTGTCCTCCTAGCTTCTGATACCAAGAACAAAAACTTGTTTATAATGAGATTGGCATTTAGTCCTTTTCTCCATTGATGCTGCTACCATTGAACCAAATGATCATATGATAACATGTTGCTTTGCTTCTTAGGAGGGAAGGAACCAAAAGGCAGATATTATCTAGTCTCTCAAACTCCAGTCTTGTACCATCTGGTTGTAGGGCATAGTGCTAATTGTTTTATTCCCCAAATAGTAGTGATGTTAATGAAGTATAAAACCTTCCTAAGACCACCATTTTTGTAGTTTAAAGAAGTAGCTCAGAGAGTTACAATTAAATGCGAAAAGGCTGTAGAATATTAATAGAATTTTCAGAATCTTAGGTGCTGCATGCTAGATTAAGCACACTTCATATACTTGTTTATTTAATCTTCATAACAGTGCTGTGAACTACAGATACTATTAAGCTTTTTCAGCTGGAAGAATGAAAGCCCAAAGATGAGCGTATCCAGGGTTAGAAGGATGTGTTGAGGGAGAACTTCAGTTGTCTGACTTCAGAGGTGTTCCTTAACTAGGATACAATAGTGAATCACTGGCTTTGGGTAGTAAGGTCTAAAAATCAGAGTTCAAGCTACAAAAATCTTATTTTTAAATGAAATTTGATAAAACACCACCCTAAGATTATGGGATACCCAAAATGAAAACTGAAATGTGGGAAGTTTTTGGTGAATGCCGCGCCAGCACGTCAAGCTCCGAGTATTCTGGGCAGAGGGCGTCAGGATTGAACAAACTATCACACCATCATGGAGTGGGAGGAAGGACTTCGACTGCCACTTTATTGTTTGAGACAAGGGTTTAAATACTTTTCAGTAGAGGAGGTGGAGTCAGGACACATGATAATTGGGATCACCTGACTGTAAGGCTAGTTTTTGGGTCAGGTGCACCTTTTCTCAGAATCAGGAGAAAGTCCTTGTGATAAACAATTCCAGGAAATACCACAGATACCCAAGCTCTTACAAGGGGGAGGCGGAGGTCAGGACGCCATGTCCCTGCAGGTGAATTTATTAATTCCCAGTTGTTTAATATATTCTTATTTTTTATAAACTTAGAGTAGTCTCTACACTATGTATGGTAGGCCCTGTGCAAGATGTTGCTAATGTGAGGATGAGCAAGATGTGTATTTTGTTGCACTGCTTTTGAGTACTTCGTAATGAACCAACGGCAACATAAATAGTTGCTTTTTGTTTAGATGAGTTAGTTAACTCTGAATGGATATTCATGATAAAGAGTTAAAAATGTATAAAGGTTATATAGTGAAAAGTCAGTCCTCTTCTGCACCTGTCCTTTGGCCATTCAGTTGTGTTGGTCTATACGTTTATCACTATATGAGTGTCACTTGCTTTTTGTATAAGCGGTACTGCATAATTCTAACAATGTGTTATGAAAATAGGTTCATATGGAGCATGTATTTTTATTGTATAGTGTCTAACTGTATGGATGTAATATAATTTATATAACTTTACCTATTGATGCACATTTATCTTTCTAATGATTTGCTATTATAAATGATTCTGCACTGAATAATATTGAGTTATGTGTCTTGTCATATAATGAAAGTATCTGAAGTGTAAGCTCTGAGAAGTAGATGTTATATTCATAATTTTGACAGACAATACCAAACTGCCTTTATAGATAGCTTGCCAATTTGTAGTCTTACTAGCAAGTTTTATTAGAATGTGTTTTTCTTCCTATTTAGCATAGTCAATTTTAAAATCTTTTCTAGTTTGATAGGTAATAAATGGAATTATGATTTTTAACATATTTAAGAACCATTTATATGCTCTTTACAGAAAATTTTCTGGTTTTGGTTTTTGTTGTTAAGTAGGAGCTCTTAACCTATTATAAATAAGCATAGATCTGTGATATAGCTTTACTTCAATGTTAAATTGTCAGATTGGAGGAATGATCCAGGTGCTGTAGGATTATAGCTGGAGGTTCAGTTCTGCCTGAGGGAGAATAGGCCAAGAAGCATTTGAACTGGGGCTTGAAGGATAGAGAATTTTTCAGGAGAATTAGGAGAAAGGTGTATCAGTGATACCAAGGTATAAAAGTAAATGATGTGGATGCAAGTACAATCCAGTAGTTAACAGGGCTTAAATGTGGTGTCAGGGATCGAACTCAGGTTTGTCAGGCTTGGCAGCAAGCACCTTTACCCACTCAGCTATCTTATCAGTCCCTTATTTGTGTTTCTTTAGAGTATTTCAGATTTATATCTTTTGCTTATTCTTTTACTAATTTTTTTTGTCTTTTTCTTTCTGCTTTGTGCAAGTATTTATTTATTAGGAGTATTAATTATTTTGAGAACATTTAAAAATATTTTTGGATCATCCTATAGAAAATATTTTGTTATCTCCAAATTTCCTTTAGTAAAATTTTATATTTTTGACCATTTTAAAAAGCATAGCACAAGAAATAAGCCTATTTTTAAAAGCTACCAAAATTTGTAAGGTATAATTTTCCATGTCATCAACAGACATGAAAAATTATCATAAAAATGAGAATCACGTGTTTATAATTTTAGTTGCAATCTTTATTTTTAATTTTTTTAATATTTTATTCATTGTTTTAATTTTGTGTATATGAGTATATTGCCTTCATGTATGCAAGTGCACCTGTGTCGGGCAATGCCCATGGAGTTCAGAAGAGGGCTTCAGATCCCCTGGATCCCCTGGAACTGGAGTTATGGATGGTTGTTAGCTGCCTTATAGGTGCTGGAAATCGAACCTGAGTCCTCTGTAGGAGTAGCCAGTGCCCTTAATCTCTGAGCCATTGCTCCGGCCCCATGTAATCTTTATTTTTAATGTACTAAGGTAGGACTGTGAAAGTAGTTCCTAGCTAGTGCTTTTGGTCAGGATCTGAGGCTGGATAGAGGGGGCTGAGCACTTCTCTGTCATTCTGAACCTCCCACCCTGTTGGTACCTATCCTTGGTTTCCTAGCAGCAGCTCCTGTTTCAGATCCTGGTTTTTGTTTTTTTAAGTCACTGTGTCACCTGAGTCTACTTCTGTTTCTCTCTTGATAATGGGGTCTTTTTCTTCTGTTTGTATCTTCTTTTGAGACAGGGTCTCGTATAGCCCTGGAACTTACTACGTAGACCAGGCAGGCCTTGAACTCACAGCGATCTGCCTGTCTTGGCTTCCTGAGTGCTGGGCTAAGGCCTTTTTTTTTTTCGGTCTTTTTGAGATAGGGTCTCTCTGTAGCCCCAGCTGGCCTGGAACTCACTCTTTAGACCAGGCTGGCCTTGAACTCACAGAGATCTTCCTGCCTCTGCCTCCCGAGTGCTGGGATTAAAGGCGAGAGCCACCACACCCGGCTAGTAAATAGTTTTTTTTTGCTTGCAAATAGGCATGGCATGCCTCTTGATCGGCCATTGTGGCACTAATTAGCCAAGGGTTGAGTTAGGGTTTGGTTCTGTGGTTGCCATAGTTACTCCTATCTGTAGGTTACCTTGTACTCCGGGTGGGGGTTGCGTTGCTGGATTTTCTCGGTTTTCTTCTTTCTCTGTGCAGCTGCACCTCAGAAGGGAGTCGCTCTGTAGGCCCTTTCCAGGCAGAAGGCTGCTGTGGCTTTACCCAGCTCTGCTAGTGATGGTGGCAGCTCTGCTGGTGATGGTGGCAGCTCTGCTGGTGAAGGTGGCAGGAGAAATCTCTGCAGTCCAGATCTCATTTTAGCGAGGTTGAACTCAGGAGAGAATGTTCAGGAGAATTGTCCTTTCTCCTTATGGCATACAAACTTCCTGCAGGTGATGGGGGGGGGCGTGGGAGGG